TCGAAATTTCAAGCTTCCGATGAATAGAGCATGAGCAAAAGTCAGAAAAATTCTGAGTAAGAATAATCTCCGAAGAACTGACTAGCCTCAATCTCAAAGGAAAGCGATGGGGTATGAATGTGCCGTCGTAAAAAATCACTTGCTGCGTCACATCAAATGAAAAACTTGTAATTCAGAGAACTACCACCGACGGAATTTTTGTGTTTTTTCGAGAGCTGTACTTCGAAGCGTCGGAAACGCGCACACCTCCCAGCTGCAAAAGGTTGTATACAGTAAAGGTTCAGGCCAGTTGCGTTACTGGAAAGGAAAGGGACGTCAGCTAAATGGAAAAGCCTGAGCGAAAAACGGTGAACGTTTCCCAAGCACATGCAAACTAATGTGAGAATTCAGGATTCTTCTGATTTTTACGACGACGCAAAGTCGAAAACTCGGGAATTCATGAACTTGAATTTCCTACTCTTCATTTAATGATCGAAAATTCGCTCACTAAATAGAGGAGTCTTTTCTCAAATGGTTCGATTTTAACTATAACGTTACCAGAAGAAACGAAGATCGAAGGAAAATTTGATTGGAACCTTTAGAAGCACTTTTGCCAAATATTAGAAAATACATATGTATATCTGGGAGAGCTTTGATCGTCCTTTTGCTGGTATTTCGCTGTAATTCGCGGTGGCGACCCCATGTACAAGTCGCTGCTTTGATCCTCCCAGACGAAACTGATACCAACTGAGCGATCCCGAAGGGTAGATGGCTCTGCGGGCCTGAGTGGATATCGATCCTAGATTCGATCCCCGAGCCATGCGTGTGTGATAGGGCGCCCCTTCTGTACCACTTGCACTCATAAAAAAGAGTAGAGTACTTTATAGAGAAAAAAGAAAGAAAGAAGGTGCATTGAGGAACCAAAACAATGAGTAACGAGAACATTCATTATCGAGCCGATATGTAAAGATGTTCGGGAAAGTAAGGGGCTGCGTTGAGGTATGACAGAGGTAGTGTTATCGGTAAATTTAGAAGCTGAGTTCCGATGCACTTCCAAACAGCCTGTATTTCCATGATGTCGTAAGGTATTAGTAGGAGGTGGGTCAACACACTAATCGCCTACAAACATCGTAAAACAGCTATGTCTACAAGTCATTCCTTATCGAACTTATCTGATGTTCGGTAAACCTTCATTGACGGCCAATCAACATAAGAAGACTAGCTGTTTATTCCATATTTATTAGTAGAAGCGAATATGAGATCATTTCGTGGTTTTGCTAGTTTCAGCGGTAGAATGATGAAATATGAAACTCTCCAGTTCTTTTTTTATCCATACATAGCAAAGCCAGGAACTAGGGAGACGGACAGTAGGATCGGTTTTGTGTAATCGATTCGCCGCACGCGGCTGTCGCGAACCATTCGCTTCGCCGTTATTACAGCTATGACGTTCTTCATACAGCTCAATCAATCTGCGATCATTATTTTAGGCATGATTCTACTGTTAGTTCTTTTGTTACTGAATTCTGCTACATTCTTTCGCGCGCGGCGTCGCTCTCGCCGCGACGCGACAGCTTCGATCCTACTGCACCACACTCCAGGAACTATCCTTCACCTACATCGTCCCTTTCTTCCTCCCAAACAAATCTTACACTAGTTTCTCGAAAGAGGGCAGGATACATACCCGGCCTGTGTGTACGGTAGCGAATCCAGTTTAATTCCAGTTGGCATACAGAGAAATTCGTACAAACAGGTGAGTATTTAAAAAAAAGAGCGATGGGGAAGCTTCTCGACCTGTGCCCCAAATTCCATCGCTTTTCGAAATCGTAGAGATCTTATGGGGCGTATATGATCAAAAATGTCGTGAAAAATGCCAGCTGGTGTATAGGGCCACGTTTTTTTACTGCCCATCAAGAAGTTTTACGACAACAAATCGACATCGACAGGACGAAAAGCCCGATGATCCCGAGAGAAGCTCGAACTATCGATTGCGTGAGTGCTGAGGTGGCACCATTTGCCACTACTGCAAGTTCTTCAGAAGCGGAGGGAAGAGGGAATGTCACAAAGACAAAATTAGTGAATGATCACGAAAAACTGAGATGTTGGCACAAATCGGAAAAGAAATCCATCGAGGCTTCTACCAAGCGCTGAGTCAGCAGGAACTTCATGCCAGAACTGCAGCGTATCCCTGTTAATCTCCCCGAGAGGGCTTTAGTCAAGCAATGTCAGCTGATCCCATTCATGCAACTATTCAGAGCATCACGAAGAGACGCATGGAAAAAAACTTAAACAAACACACACATATGCATGCGAGGGCGACATTAAACACACCAGATGCCTGATATCGTCGCTAAATTGAGTATGAGGAGAAAGCCACAGGAAAAACTGCTATATTACGTCAATTCAAGCTATACATTAGTCGGAAGACCACAGACGAGCTCGATTCCAAGCCTCCCACATACTTAGCTCTCAACAAAAGTTATGACTGCGCACACATGCGATCCTCGGAGCCAGCTAAGCAATAAGCATGATGAGAAAGTGACCGTCGCGCTAGAATGTTGCATTCAACTAATGCGGAATTCGCAGACTCTTCATCATTTCACACCTTTCTGTCCACCTTTTCGTCCCTGTTCTCCCGTCTGTTGCTCTTTGAAGGGTAAGGAAGCGATTACAATTCGATGAATGAGAGGAAGTGGAAATGGTGGTGTAGGAAGGATCTAGCATCAATGGAAAGTAGGCCATCCCCTGTCTTCAGAATATCGGAATCGGTCAGCGCTTTTTCCGGCCAGGTCGCCAAGTGCTCGAACTTATAGGAGTGGGAATCCTGGTTGGAGAGGGAATCCATAACCCATGCTCCAGACTGGGTGAATTGCGAACAAAGCCTTTAGCTAGCCCACCATCTTATTGAAATACTGATATGCCTTTAAGAACAATGGATCCACTTCTGATTCAACCAGTCTTCCCAAGAGGCTGTACTACTGATTCTGTTGAGAACAAATCGGTTATTCGGCTGGCANGTGCCAACGTTACACACGGATATGGCACGAACATTTTTTGGGAGTTAACGCTTGTTACCTTCAAACATCTAGGTCGGCGTCAGAAGAAATGCATGGGACGCAATTTGATCCTTGAACTATTCAATTTCCGTTCTAGACTGTTAATTAACTTCGAAAAAAGAAGAACAGCTGAAAGCTGCATGGATGCTCTGCTGATGGAGAAACCCTATTATGAGCCTGCTTAGATAGACGAAGAAGAAAGAAATGAAATGCGTCATGTTGGCAAAATAAGAAGCATATATATTAGATGCGACACATTCACTACGATGCAATATAGCAACAGAATTGACTGGAAAGACTACTGCATTCATCAGTCCTTTCTAGTTTCCAATGACAACGGAAGAAGTGATGAACAGCTGATTAGTTGAAAAATTGGAAGAGTCGTCAGTTGCGAAACAACAGACCCAAATGTCTGCTTCAAGATATCGGTTATTTCGTAGGTGTCAACGGAATGCACTGTGTAACGGGAACTCCTCAGTTTGATCAGCTCACCACGAATCCGGGTAACAGCCTAGTGCATGGCGCGTCTCAGAGATATTGATTTGAATTTTTTCCTACATCCACGTTATGACCATTTCGACGAAATGAGAAAAATTAGGGAAAATGGTAGCAAAATTGAATCTTGACATAAGTGAACGCATTCTTCGCTACCAACTGGTTCAGCTTCGGGATGAGCCATGCACTTTACGCGTGCTTGGACTTTTGTTCCCATTTGGAAGTGCGTCTGGCCCCCATTATGAGCTGTGAAGGTCATTATCAGTGTAATAATGAGAACCTTTGTTCTCCCAGCTGAATCATCTTTTGTGGAATGCTAGGCCTGACTAATTTTCGAAGAAATCATCCCCCTAATTCGTGGACTAAACGTAAGATGGTGGCCGCACCTCTTCCTTCTACTCCACTTAGAGAAAATCAATTATTTCAATCAACCACGACTCAATCGGATTCA